ATTATTATTAATATTATTATATTGTTACTATTATCATTACTCTTTTAATTCATTTAAATTATTAAACTGTTCTTATCTCAACCCAGGAGTGTTTCTCACTCTTACTCCTCTGATTCTCTCCCCCATCCCATCGGGGTAGCGGGAGTGAGCAAGAGGCTGCGTGGTGCTTAGTTGCTGGCTGGGGCTACACCATGACAAAGTCCTTACAGTTTCTCCACTGCTTCTCTCCTCATTACAGCTTGCGACTGTACCTGATGGGTTGAAGCCACCGCATGCAGCCTTCGATCTGTTTGAACAGAGACTCCCAGAGAATGTTTGGGGCCAGGATGGGAGGAAAGTGCAGCTTCTGGCAGGGATCTGACAGCACCTGAGGTGGCTTGTCTGCATGAGCTGGAAGGTAGGTGATAGTATTTCTATTTTTGTAGCATGCTGGACTGCCCAGTCAAAATATTTCTTGGTGTAATCTCAGATCATCTGATATTGCCTTGGCATTACTTCATGTTGGAGCAAAATGACATGACGTTGGAAAAAGTTTATATGCTCCAAACGTGCTGTCTCATGGCAGCAGATCCACATTAATAGACTCAGAGCTGGAAGAGGGAGAGTTACCAAATATTTCACTTTAGTCAGAGCCATGCCAGAAGCTCTCATTGATTAAACACTTTGTTATACCAAATGCATACACAGCTCTTAGAAACAAGAATGTCTCATCAGAAAGCCTAAGGTTAGTTTAAGTAGTTTAAATAGCAGGTTTTGCTATCCTAGTTCCTTGTGATGGATGTAAGCCCAGAGCTCATCACAACTCATCCATGACACTTAAGCAGAAACTATTTGGCAGATTTCAAATTTACAAATGAAGAAAACCTTGCTGCAAAAACCTGATGGCTCTGATATAACTCTACAGAGAGGAAAAAAGACTCTCCTGCTTCTTATACGTGAGTGTTGGTGGCCTTACACGGTAGCACTGTGTGCTGAACAAGTCCTTCATAATTCTGAAACAGCGATGACTGATACACTTAGGTCGTTCAAAAAAAAGTTCCTGTAAGTACAAAACCAGAATGACACGAGATTAAATATGAGGTTTTCCTGTCACAGGGTGCACGCACAGGAAGCTTACAGTTATATGATACACGCAGGGAGAGCGGGGAGGGAGCAGTTAAGAACATACCCATAAATTGAATTCAGGGACACTGTGAAATATGTAGTGCTGTTGTCCCAAAGATGGGTTCTTTTACCAGGTGTGCAAGAGCCAATTCACTGAGTCGAGATAGTTATTTCATTTCTGCACAGAGATGGGTGCTAGGTGGTAAATTCCACAAAGCTAGCACACCCTGTTATCCTTGCATCACATATTTATACAATTAAACAAAGTCACTATGCCTACTGTTAGCACCTGCTTGTTAGTCATTGGTTATTTCTATTTTTGCTTCGACGCCTGCTTGTTAGTCATTGGTTATTTCTACTTTCACTTTGATTTAGAGACTACGTCTCCCTTTAAAATCACTACCCATGCTCAGTGGGTAGGCGTCTGCCTTTGGAGGTGGGCAGCTCTTCCAACAGAGGTGTGGTTTGTACATTATAATTAGCTGGTTCACTTAGGGGACACCAATTAGTGGATCTTGCTGACTAGTAAAAGAGGAGTAGAAGGGAGTTTTGACACTCAAGGATATATGTTCATTGTTTTAGAGATCTAAAAGAGAGCCTTCTGCTCCCCATTATAGATATGCTGGTGCCTATTATCTTCAGTACATTCCTTCCTAAGGTAAACAATATCACCATGACCTCAGACAATCAGTCATCACTGCTGGCTGTTCATTGCCAAGCGAGTAATTATGCAATGTGTCTCTTTAATCTTCAGGGTGCAAGTTGTTTGCTACTCACGTCACTTCCATATCAACGGTGACTATGGAACTATTAGTATTGAAAGTAAGAAGAGCAGCTGCGTACTATGCATCAGACGGGCACATGTGCTCTCCAGCAGAAAGCAAGTGCAAGCAAGGCAAGCTGCTTGTGGTGTCCGATTGACCTCTTCGCGATATTTTGAGCGAGGCTCTTTCTCTGAGCAGCAATGAATACACTCAGATACTGCTTCTTTGCTGCCCTGATTCTCAGTGCCTCACTTCCGTTTGTTTTCTACGCTGTTAACTTGCATGCACAGAAATCGCCCAGGAGGCTGAACTTCTCGGTGAGTTCAACTTTAGCAGAAGCCTGTAAGGCACTTATTGAAGATAAGGCACCCTTTCTGACGGAAAACACTTTAATAACATCATTCAGACAATCCAGTTGCACGGAGTACATCCTGCAGAACCACTACATCACCCGCGCCCTCTCAGCTGAGGAGGCTGCCTTCCCCATCGCCTACATCATGACCCTGCACAAGGAGTTCGAGACCTTCGAGCGGCTCTTCAGGGCAGTGTACATGCCCCAAAATGTCTACTGCATCCACGTGGACGCCAAGGCGCCGGCCCCCTTCCGGCAGGCGGTGCAGCGCCTGGTGGGATGCTTCCCCAATGCCTTCCTCGCCTCCCGGGCGGAGCGGGTGGTCTACGGCGGCGTCTCCCG